TTTTTTTTGTCCTGGAAGCTTTTAATCTCTCCTTCTATTTTCAATGATAGCCTAGCTGGATATAGTATTCTTGGCTGCATGTTTTTCTCGTTTAGTACTCTGAATATATCATGCCAGCTCTTTCTGGCCTGCCAGGTCTCTGTGGATAAGTCTGCTGCCAATCTAATATTTTTACCATTGTATGTTACAGACTTCTTTTCCCGGGCTGCTTTCAGGATTTTCTCTTTGTCACTAAGACTTGTAAATTTGACTATTAGGTGACGGGGTGTGGACCCATTATTGATTTTGAGGGGGGTTCTCTGAACCTCCTGGATTTTGATGCTTGTTCCCTTTGCCATATTGGGGAAATTCTCTCCAATAATTCTCTCCAATATACCTTCTGCTCCCCTCTCTCTTTCTTCTTCTTCTGGAATCCCAATTATTCTAATGTCGTTTCGTCTTATGGTGTCACTTATCCCTCGAATTCTGCCCTCGTGGTCCAGTAGCTGTTTGTCCCTCTTTTGCTCAGCTTCTTTATTCTCTGTCATTTGGTCTTCTATATCGCTAATTCTTTCTTCTGCCTCATTTATCCTAGCAGTGAGAGCCTCCATTTTTTATTGCACCTCATTAATAGCTTTTTTTTATTTCAACTTGATTAGATTTTAGTTCTTTTATTTCTCCAGAAAGGGCTTTTATATCTCCCGAGAGCGTTTCTCTAATATCTTCCATGCCTTTTTCGAGCCCGGCTAGAACCTTGAGAATCGTCATTCTGAACTCTAGATCTGACATATTACCAATGTCTGTATTGATTAGGTCCCTAGCCTTTGGTACTGCCTCTTGTTCTTTTTTCTGTGATTAATTTTTCCGCCTTGTCATTTTGTCCAGATAAGAGTATATGAAGGAACAAGTAAAATACTAAAAGGGTGGCAACAACCCCAGGAAAATATACTTTAGCCAAATCAGAAGAGATCCCAAATCGTGAGGGGGGGAGGGGATATAAAAAGGTTCAGAAAGAAAAAAAAAAAAAAAAAACAAATAAAAAAAGAAAACCAATAATGAAAAAATATAAAAAGGAAAAATATATATATATATATTAGATAAACTAGTTAAAAAACGTTAAAAAGGAAAAGGGTAAAAGTTAAAAAAAATTTAGCAGAAGAAGAGAAAAAAAAATTGAAAAAGAAAAAAAAATTAAATTAACTGCAAGGCTAAAGAATCATGGGGAGAAAGCCATGGGGAGGAAGCCATGAGTTCTGTGCTTTGCTTTCTCCTCCTCTGGAATTCCGCTGCTCTCCTTGGTATTGAAACTGCACTCCTTGGTAGGTGAACTTGGTCCTGGCTGGGTTTCTTGTTGATCTTCTGGGGGAGGGGCCTGTTGTAGTGATTCTCAAGTGTCTTTGCCCCAGGCGGAGTTGCACTGCCCTTACCAGGGGCTGGGCTGAGTAATCAGCTCAGGTTTGCTTTCGGGAGCTTTTGTTCCCTGAGCGCTTTCCGTAGAGTTCCGGAGGATGGGAATGAAGATGGCGGCCTCCCAGTCTCCGGCCCGGAGGAGCCGAGAGCCCGGGGCCCCACTCCTCAGTGCGCCCTCAGAGAACAGCACCCAATTACTCCCGTCACCCTGCCTCCGGCTGCGCTCCAAGTTGACCGAGCCTGCGAGCGGTTCAAGGTAACCCCAAGCTGAGAGTCACTCCTCAGCTCTGGCTCTGTAGCCGGCTTCCCCGTTCTAATACCTGCAAGCTCTGCGACACTCAGACACCCCGATCCTTCTGTGACCCTGCGGGACCTGAGGCCACACTGGCCTTGCGTGGGCTTCACCCCGGTTAAGCCTCTGGAGCGATGTCCCTCAGCGGAACAGACTTTTAAAAGTCCTGATTTTGTGCTCCTTTGCTCCGCCGCTTGCAGGGAGCCGGCCCCTCCCCCCTCGGTCTATCTTCCTGTCGCTTTGGATTCACTTCTCCGCCAGTCCTACCTTTCAGAAAGTGGTTGATTTTCTGTTTCTAGAATTGCTGTTCTTCTTCTCTTCGATCTCCCGTTGGATTTGTAGGTGTTTGCAATCTTTAGATAAGCTATCTAGCTGATCTCCCGCAAACTGAAGTAGTCTCAGCCTGCTACCTCTATGCCATCTTGACTCCTCTTTTGTAACTTTTCTATTAAAGGAATCCTTGTTGCTTGTTTCAAGACAAGAGGGTTTTTTTGTTGTTGGTTTTTGTTTTTTTTTGTTAGGGCTGCAGAAAATGTCATTTACATATCAGTCATATCTAGGTGCTTTGAAGTGTTTGTCTACATCTTTCTGGTACATACAGTTCTCACTGCCTTGTGGATAGGAATCTATAGCCAGGTTGTGTGGGACCAGCCTAGATAGTTGAAATTTGAAGTCACCTCCCAGGTATGCCTTTAAGGGCACGATCTCCCAGCTCCCAGCCATAGAATTACTGGTACCTGAAATTCTGCTTTTAGAGATTCATTCTTTGTCTAAACTTGCTTCCTTTTACTTGCACAGGCACCTATGGAAGGTAAGTCTTGTGAGTCAGCAACTTTCTAATAAGATTCTTTCTTGCAAATAGGTAAATTTTGGAGACATAAGGAAAGATTAAGAAGATACTTAATCATCAAATGTGGGAGGCAAGGAAAAGTGATACAATAAAAAGGATGGAAACAGCACCATTAAGAGGAGGCCTCAGTGGAGATCTTGAATTTTGATCTTCTTTACAGTTTGGGCAGTGAATGGGAGCCTGTGTGGTTGGTGCATTTGGAGAATGAGTTGGGCAGCTTTCTCTCTTGTTTTTTTCCCCTCTCTTAGCATTTCAGTGCATTGAGGCCATGCAGGCCTGCCTCACTCAGGACCAGCTGGTGGTGGAGTGGCAAAGCTCTGCTCCAGATGTGGACACATGGATGGTTGAATGGTTCCCAGATTTGGACTCAGAGCCCTCCACTTTTTCCTGGGAATCTGTGTCTCAGGCCAGGAACTGGACAATCCAGAAAGGTATCCATTGTGGACCCCACAAGTTCCCTTTATATAAGATTCAGTTTCATTTCCACTAGTTTTAAAATCGTTAACTTTGACTCTAAAGCTGTAGATGTAGTTTTGGACATCTTTGGATGTCCTTTGGACAGAGCAAGTGCAGGCCCAGTGAAGTGCCATATTTCTTGGTGGTTCCCACTTAGGCTGGGCCAGGAGTCTGTGGATATCAGACTTGGTATATGGTCTATTTACAGGTGGAAACCACCATATTGACCTCACCATCAGAGAGCCCTTCCTGGATATCTTGATCATGTGGGTAACACTAGAGTTTTTCTCCCATCAGTCTTGCCCAGGCTACCCTTTTAGTTCTGGTTCCCTGTTTAAGATCTAGGTCCCCTCTCCAAGTAAGTGATATAGGGAATAGACTTCTTTTTAAGAAAGTCCCTGCTCCTTGAAAGACAGATGAGTGAGGCTTTACCCTCCCAATCCTGCCAGTCTAACCATTTAATACTTAATGGCACCCATATAAAGGATTATACTCATGCAGGGATTCATGGTAGAGGAGCTAGAATTCATGGAATCTGAGTTCTCAGGATGATATGCTATTGAGAGAAGGATTAAGTTTTATTCTGTAGTGCTTCCAAATCATGTAACAAAATCCATGATAGAGGAAGGACTGGATCTCTTACTTTTCCCTTCCTAGTTGGCTCTGTCATTTCATTAGAATGGTGTAGACTTAGTTCTAATAATTAATTTTAAAAGGTTAGAGTTGGACAATGGAGATGATCCAACCTAACCTCCTTGTTTTCCAGATGTGGAAACAGTAGAGAAATGTTCTTACATTAGAGTATATGTCCATACTTACAGTATGTCCTCTAAGACGTAGATGTAACTCGGTCTAACAATTCTCCTTTGCCAGCCTCTGAGCTAAGGCTTATTTTCTATCTCTCTCTCTCTTTTTTACAGATGAATTAAAACCCTTCCAGTGCTATAACATCTCTGTGTATCCAATGTTGGGAGACCGAGTGGGCCAGCCATATTCCATTCAGGCTTATGCTCAAGAAGGCAGTATGTATGCAAAGGCCCTGTGGGGCAAGGAAACCCTGGGGCCTGTCCAACAACCAGATGAGGCTGTGAATGTCTTTAGCCCATTCACAGTTGCCTTAGCGCTTAGCTGTGCTGCACCTTCAGCTTGGTAGCTACATACGCTTGACACAGTTGCGGTCAGGTTGTAGGTTTACTGGATTTCAAAGCTGGGGTAGAAGTTAGAGATCCTCAAGTCCAAGCCCTTCATTCTACAAATGGAAAATCAAGGCTCAGAGAGGTAAAATAATTTGTCCAACCTCACAAAGGAACTTAGAGCCAATAGCCTCGTAAGCAGAAATGACATTTATTTAAGACCAAGTTAGGGACCTTACAGAGTTAATCCTAAATTGGAGATGCAAAAGATTATTTTTGTGTTGCTGTTGTACAGTACAACTCATGGGTTGTACTGATGAACTGCCCAGACTTTATTCTTTATCTTTTAGAGGTTAACCTTAACCAGATTCAACATTAGAAAATCTGTCCTGTCACTCAAAGGTAACCCCGGGTGCCTGTCCTGCAGCTGTATTTGATACTAGCTGAATGATACGAATGAAATGATATGAATGAAAGCTGAATGCAAAACGAGAGTGAGGGCTCTGTCAGAAAGTACTTTTTTTGCAGGCCTTTAACAGGGCTTTCCTTCTATTCAAGATAGATAATTCCAGATAACTATGTTCCCAAACAAGGTGGTGTCTCTTTTCCCTACTCTGCTCCGGCCTCCAATCTCTGGCCCCGATTTGTCTTGAGTACCACCCACAGCTCTGGGGAAAAGGATCTCCCCAGCTGTGATTCAGTGCTTATTGTTTTTCTCTCTGGCCTGTAAAGTTCCGTCAGTGGGTCCTGTGACCGAGGCAGACAACATCGGTGTGAAGACAGTCACAATCATGTGGAAAGAGATTCCCAAGAGTCAGAGAAATGGCTTCATCAGCAACTACACCATATATTACCAAACTGAAGATGGAAAGGAGTTCTGTAAGTGTGCTTGTAGCCAAGCTGGAAAACCCCCAAACCCCAAAGAGATGCTGTGGGTACACCTGCTGTAGGGGTTGGTGCCCTATAATCTCACATGAATCATTTAGCCTCTTTGACAGCCTCTCTGATAATGAGGCCAAGAACACCTACCTCTTGAGTTTTTTGGAGTCAAATGAGAGTGAAATGACACAACCTAAGAATCCTGTAGGAGCAAAAGGAGTGTTTATGGTCAGGCTGTGAACAAGCTGGCCTTCTGGGAGCTTCCCGATCATTAATGCAGACTCTTTAATACTCTGCATTAAAGAGTAGAGTGGTGACACCTACCTCAGTGCAGGACCCTCTACCCTGATTCCTTCTGCCCACTGTCAAGTCATACTTTTGCTTGAATCCACAGTATCTACTGACATCCTCAATTCTGGGCTAGGCTTGGATTCCTATTTAGGCTAACTTTTTTTGTTATAGTAAAATACATAAAGCATAAAATTTACCACTCAAAACATTTGAAAGTGTACCAGTTAGTGGCACTGAGTATATCAATAATGTTGTGCCACCATCATCTCTATCTGTTTCTACCCCAAATAGAAACCCTGTACCCATTAATCAGTTGCTTCTCATTGTCTTTTTCCCACAGTCCCTGGAAACCTCAAAATTGCTTTCTGTCTTTTGGATTTACATATTCTGGCTATCTCATATAAATGGAATCATACAATATGAGGCTTTTTGAATCTGACTTCTCTTACTTAGCATTGTGTTTTCAAAGTTTATCCATCTTGTAGATTGTAATAATATCTCATTCCTTTTTATAGCTGAAGAATATTCTATTCTATGGATAGTCTGCATTTTGTTTATCCATTCATCAGTTGATGGGCATTTGGGTTGTTTCCACTTTTTGGCTACTGTAATTAATACTGTAGGCAAATACTGTTTGAGTATTTACTTGCTTTTAATTCTTTGGGGCACATACCTCGGAGTGGAATTGCTGGCCCATATGATAATTCTGGTTTAATTTTTTGAGAAACCACCCAGCTGTTTTCCATAGTGGCTGCCCCATGTTACATGCCCACTAGCAATGGATGAGAGTTACAATTTCTCCACATTCTTACCAACACTTATATTATTGCTACTATCATGGTGGGTATGAAATGGTTTCTCAATGTGGTTTCATTTTTTATTTCCTTAATAATTAATGATGTTGAACATCTTTGCATGTGCTTATCGGCCATTTGTATATCTTCTTTGAGAAAGTCTGTTCAATTTCTTTGCCCATTTTTATTTTATTTATTTATTTGACAGACAGAGATCACAAGTAGGCAGAGAGGAAGGCAGAGAGAGAGGAGGAAGCAGGCTCCCTGCTAAGAAGAGAGCCCAATGTGGGGCTCAATCCCAGGACCCTGGGATCATGACCTGAGCCAAAGGCAGAGGCTTTAACCCACTGAGCCACCCAGGTGCCCCACTTTGCCCATTTTTAAATTGGGTTGTTAGTCTTTTAGTTTTTGAGTCATAAGATTATGTTAGAAGTTTCTTATAAAATATATGATTTGCAAACATTTTTTTCCATTTTATGGATTGTCTTTTCACTCTCTTGATAATGTCTTTTGATACACAAAAGTTTTTAATTTTGGTGAAGTCCAGATTAATCTATTTTCTTTTGTTGCTTATGTATTCGGTATCATATGTAAGAAACCACTGCCAAGTTCAAAGCCACCATTTACCCTATGTTGTCTTCAAAGAGTTTTATAGTGTTAGCTCTTATGTTTAGATCTTTGCTATATCTTTCTAGCCTAATTTTAAGCAGAACATGGATAGAGGGATTGGGGTATTCGAATGGATGACTTGGAGGTACAGGTCCCAGTGCTCTTATTTCATTCTTCCTAAAGCACAGTTTTTACTTGGGCTTGGCTGTTGTGTTTGACTTCTATATTTTTCCTTTAGCCAAGACAGTCAACCCCAACATCCTGCAGTATGGCCTGGAGTCCCTGACACGAAAGACCTCTTACACTCTTCAGGTCATGGCCAGCACCAGTGCTGGGGGAACCAATGGCACCAAGATAAACTTCAAGACATTATCAATTAGTGAGTATTTCTTTTATGCCTTGCATAAGTCTCCTTGGCATTTCCCTTATGGCAATTAGAGATGATGTTTGCTAAAGGCAGGGGGAAGCCTAATGAAAGGGAAGTACTTAAGTAGGAAGAACCATCTGCCCTCTGGCTCATTGACCTTCCTGGAAGGCGTATGGTTGAGGAGAGAAGTAGAGAGAGCAGACACATTGAGAACTGAATTTGAAAAGACTGGTCATTTTGTTCCTTCATCATGGGTAGTCCCATGTCATCTTGAGGAGAAGGGTTCAAGTTAATTCCAACTTCATTTCAGTACATACCAACTTCTGCTTCAAAGCCGCCCCAGGTTCATAGTCACCAGTATCTGTGTTCCAGAGGTTGCTACAGAGTGGGGCCTTGGAGAGAAAATCTTGGTTTAACTAGCACCATTGTCCACAGGAAGGAACTTAACTTCCATCATTTGTGGAGATTTTTGAGGAAAAATGTACATAATATGTTCTACTTATCAGTTTTTACATTAAAAAATAGCAAGAAAAATTTAATAACAAAATATAAAATATAGTGTTGATGATGGTTATGGGAAATATTCAAGAGGAAAAGAAGCTAGAATGAGAGGAGAGATGAAGAAAGAAAGAAGGAGAATGTGAGAAACAGAAATACGTTAATTTTCTCAAGTCCTTGAGGAGCAGAGATTTAATTTTAAGGATATACTAGACCTGTTTTAAGAATTATTTATATTAAAAGTGAAGAGACATTGCCAGTTTTTTCAGTAAAAGGTAAACAGAGTCTGGTTTAAGTTTTCTCTCTCTCTATTTTTAGAGAGAGAGAGCATATGAGCAGAGGGTGGGGAGGAGCAGAAGGAGAGAGAGAATCTTAAGCAGGCTCCAGGCTTAGAGTGGAGCACAATGCAGGGTTCAACCTCATGACCATGGGACTGGATCCGAAATCAAGACACCCAACCCACTGAGCCACCCAGACCCCTCTGGTTTAAGTACTCTTGAAAGCCTCTTGCTTATCACATTTTCAAAAGTATAAAACTATCTTTATGGCTCTGGAAAATGTAAATACAGCATGTGTTTCCACATAGAAAACACGTTCTGTGTTTATGGGCTAACACTGCCTTTTTTGGAGTTCTTTTTTTATATTGTTCTGTAGAATCTTTTAAAATCATATTGTATTTTCACAGCACTAGGCACAGATTGCATCATCTGCTAGAATTTTCTCCATGGGTCAAATTTAAGGCAAGAGCCTGCCTTGGAGCCTTAATGTTTCTTACACTTGTTTGCAGATTACAGATCTCCCTGCTTCTGTCTTCGTTCCTCTGCAGTCTATTCTCCACACGGCAGTCAGAGTTTAAAACCCTAGCTCCCTGCTTGAAACCCACCAGTGGCTTCTGTTGTGTGTTAAATAAAATGCAAATTCCTACCCACAGCTTTCAGGATCCTTCCTGAGCTGGGGTTTACTGACCTCCTCTCCTACCACATTCTGCTTCTATCTGTGCTCTCTAACTTCTTCCTGCTTCAAGGCTTTTGCCTCTGCTGTTCCTTCCGCCAGGAATGCTTTCTCCTCATTTTTGCATGAGTGATTTCTTCTCATTATTAACATTGGCTCAGATTTCTCCTTTCAGAGAAGTCTTCCTTTGCCGATGTGTAAAGTTACTAACTATCCTCCCATCTTACCTAAATATACTCTATCATCCTGTTATATCTTCTTTTTCTAATCATGTTCTTTTTTTATTGTCTGAATTCTTCTACCAGAATGTAGGCTCCATGCGAGTAGGGATCTTGTATATCTTCCTTACTTTTTATTACCCAGGATAGTGCTTGGAAAGTGGTAAGCACTCATTAAATATGTGCTAAGGAATGAAGGTGGAGAATGAGCCTGGTGAACATAGTATTTGTCACTGTTATTCAGGCAGAAGAGAACTGGATGAGGAGCCGCAAATATCAATTTTCTTTTTATGAATAAATTTTAACTGAATTGAAAGAAAAATCATAAGGAACATGTTGCTGAAACTCCTGGAAGAAAAAATTAATCTTTAATTTTTGTCACCAAAGTGAGGAGCTCATCCTTTTACTGACTTTTGTTCTCCTATTCCCAAAGGTGTCCCTGAGATTTTCTTTATAACTTCTTTGGTTGGAAGTGGCCTTCTCATTCTCATCATGCTGACAGTGGCATATGGTCTCAAAAAACCCAAGTGAGTTTATAGGCAATAGCACGTACCCTCAAAATCAGGGATTGAAGGGATGGAAGCCATCATGTGTGGAGAGGGCACTGTGTTATTAAGGGGATGTTGATTCATTTATCAATTTGGTACATATTTACTGAGTTTATTTATATGCCATACCTGCTCATCAGAATTCTGACCAAACGAGGACTTCTGCGCCCCACAGCCCCATGTACCAGGCTTATGCCAGGGGATTGCCAGCTGCCCCACATGCTGTTATCTTCTATATTTGGCATCTGACTCTAAAGTCAGGGAGAAGGTCCTTCCTCTCAGTGATCTCCCAGGTAGAGAGAGAACTTACCCATGGGATTAGAGAATTGGCCAATAGTATGCCCAGCATAGACTTGTTCCTTGCTAGTAGTGCAGTGTTGGAGGGCTGGCCACAGAGACGTTTCTCCTATGTGCCCTGGTCACTGTGGGAAAGGAAGGTCTTGTGCTTTCTTTCCCCAGAGAGCCTCATGCTACCCTGCTGGTCAAGGGCTCCCTCTCCCATAGATCTCTCTCTCCCAAACTGCACAGCTAAGGACCTTCTCTGCCAAGCAGCTAGGCTTAGTTATAGTTAAGTGAATGTCAGCCTCATTTCCCAACCATAGGTAGAAACCAAGTCACGAGGAAACTCTTGTACGTTTTGCCTATCTATCAGGCTCCCTGGTGAGGCGGCTGCGGCTGGTTAGGACCACACTTTGAGAATCACTGCACTAAAATGTAGGTGTTGTATCAGGTTTAGAGGGTTATGCTTCCTGGAGGATAAATCTCAAAAACATGGTTCTGTGATGGTGTGGTTTCTAGCATCAGGACCAGGGGTGGAGATGCAGAGGCAGGAGATGGTAAGAAAAGTGTCTTTCCATCACAACTCATTGAGGACTTATAATTTCACTCCCCAAACTATGTGTTCCCAGTTTCTGTCAGGAAGTCACAGCTTGCCCTTATTTAATAGAGAGCCATACAATTCTCTGTAGCAAAGCTGCACCCTTCTGGCAGACCCAAGCAGTGTAAGTAACATATACTTCTCAAACTCAATTCCTGTTTTAAAATCATATCTCTTATTAGCAAATTGAAGCACTTATGTTGGCCTGATGTCCCCAACCCTGCTGAAAGCAGCATAGCCACATGGCGTGGAGATGATTTCGAGGTAAATACTTTTGCTTTTGTTAGAGAAATCATTGAGTAGGTTGGTTGCAGAAGACAAGGAAGGGTGGTGGAGGTGGGGAGGAGTTCTGGGCTGAGATTTGTAGAGGCTTCACATCGATAGAAATTGAGGTTAAAAAGTCCCAGGGTATGGCTGGCATGACAGGTGGAATGAGCCTTTCTGGAACAACTTTGGCCTTCATCCTCTTGGACCAGTGGAAAGGACTTCACTCTGCTCAGATGACCCAGTGTGTGCTGGACATAGAACTGGTCCTATAATGAATGCCACTAAAGGACACTGGCCCTACCTTCAAGGACCTGACTGTCTAATTAGGGAGCAAGAGAGAGCCTGGCTATAAGATTTAGGGCCATTTAAAAGCAGTCAAGAACAAGTTAGTCTAGAGGCCACTGGAGACCTTGAGGGGATGTTGATATACATAGCTGTCCACAGGCTGACACGGCTGCCTCCAGTTGTTTTTCTCAGACTGGGGAAGTTACAGTCAGACTTGAACTGGGAATAGGGTCTTTTAGTGACTTATCCCTAAGTAGAAAACTCCCTTTTTCATAAGTTTAAATTAAAAACTGTTTTGCAATTTTTAAGATGTAATTTCTTTTAGTTAAGTAAAAACAAGCCCTATCAAATATAACCTTTAAATTTTTACTATTGAAAGACTATTTCTAGTACTTCCTGATGCAGGAATTTTTAGTACTAGCCCTTGCTTGTTTCAGCTTGGAAGCCTTTTTTAAATGTAGACATCTTTATTTATTTATTTTAATTTTTGTTATTTGTGTTATTTCTGTTTTCTTCTCTCCTTTATCAGCTGTGTGTTACCCTATATACTTTGCTACTTATTAAAAGTTGTCAAGAGAGTAAATGAATTTCTAGGCAGTATTGTCTGATGATTGTGGTTTTTCATCTTATGTAAGAGTTCTAATTTGGATGCTCCCATCTCAACTGGGGTTTTGTGAGCTTATGATTATGTGGAAAATAGCCTTGAGCTCTCTAGAAGAAAAAAAGTTGTTTGAATACCATGTGCCATTTCTCAGGAAATGGGTCAGTCTTGCCAGGCTTCTCTGGAAGGGCATGTGGAGGAGATTGGCCATCACTTCTGGTCTCTGGAAGGAATGTGGGGGGCTGGTCAAGAGGTGAGACATTGGTTATCCCAAGCCTAATGAGCTTTTGATTGCCTCATGTATAGCTCTTAAATGATCATTGGGGGTGTCCCTTTCTCTTTTTCAGGATAAGCTAAACCTGAAGGAGTTTGATGATCCTGTGAACACGGAAGACAGGGTTCTAAAATCATACTCAGCCCCCAGTGATTTTATTGACAAGTTGGTGGTAAACTTTGAGAATTTTTTGGAAGAGGTTTCCACAGAGGAAATTGGAAAGGATCAGGAAAGCATTTTGAGAGAGGAAAAAAATAAGTATGTGACTTCTCCATATTGGCCTTATCGTCCTTCCACATCAACTGAGATTCCACAGAGAAAACCCCAACAGCTGTGTTCTAGAATACCAGAGGGGACCTGCTTAGAAACCAAAGAACAACTTCTCTCTTCTGTTCAGAGTTTAGGGCCAGAGCATCTCTGCGAGGAAGGAGAACCAAATCCATACTTGAGAAATTCGGTGACAACCAGAGAATTTGTCACATGTGAAAAACCTCAAGATGAAGCCAAAAGAGAAGTTTAATTGTTGCTGTGGCTTGAATCCCTCTGGGTCTCAGTGTGGGTGACTCCTGCCGAGAGCATATATCAGGACTTGGCCAGAAGAGTTTCCGTGGGTGTCTCCCCCAACTTGCTTGTGTTAGAGAAACTCTCACACACCCCTGAGGGGATTGTTGACCTTCATTGGCCCAGATGTGTAACTTCCCTGAGAAGGAGGGATGGTCATATGTCTGTGCACCCTGCCTAGGAAAAGCAATTTATGTATTTATTTTTTTCAGTTTCACACTGAGGTCTGTGATATTACTTCAAGGGACAGCAGGGCCCCCAAGGTGGATATATGTGGCCTTCTGTAGGAATTAGATCATTGTCACAGATGTTGCTGGAGCTACTTCCTCAGGGTTCCAGCAGACTTTCCCCACTGCCAGTGGACAGGCATCTGGTAGGAGGTGAGAGTCTCTCCCTATACCTCTATACCTTGGGTTCTGGGCTCCACCTCCAAGGCAGCGCTGAAATCTCACTTTTGAGATTTTGTTTTTCCCTCTGTACAGAGGCAGGGGAGGTAGAGTGGCCTTCCTGATGCTATGCCTGCCCAAGGCTCCTTCTTACCCTCATAAATCTTAGCAGGACCTCCACCCACAATTCTTGCCCCTGGTTCACAGCACACTAGCTGCTGGGAAATCAGGGAATGTGTGTGTGGGGTGTCTCAGCATGGCACTGGTGAGCAGACTCTGGACTGGGCCAGAAGGTCCACCCCAAACTTCACATTGCCCAGCCCTGGAAACGATCCCAGAGGCCTCTGCTGCCACCTTGTCTTGCCCCCAAGCCTGGGAGTAGGAAGGCACTGAACACTGCCCTGCTTTTAGTCAGAGACCCTGGCGCCTCACACAGCCTCAGAGTCAGGGAATGCTTCCTGAGCATGACCTTCTAAGGCTTCTTCCCAGCACAACCTGATTAGGCTGTAGAAACATGCTGCTGTGATTTTGCTGCTCTAACCCCAGGACTCCTCTTGCCTTTGCATTGGCCACACACAGAGCTTATGGCAGTCAAGGGAGTCCTATGGTTGGGATTCATTTGTAGAGACCCAGCATCATGACCACATTGATGGCAGACGACTTCCTAGTGTGTGGTTTTGACTCCTCTAGCTATTGGGGGAGGTGGCTGAGAGCCCGAAGAGATGGAGGAAGGCCAGGCTGTAAGATGGAGGAATGCGGGGCTGTGAACCTGGCTTTCCCACCTCTCCCAGCAGCAGCCTCTCATCTTTTTAATGCTTCCTTTTTTTAAAATTTAATTTTATTTAAATTCAATTTTTTCTTCCTTGTTTTCCTTTCATTTATTCTTCCTTTCCCACTAGACTCCTTTTATCATTTTCACACTGACTTTTGCTGCCTTGAGGGTTAAGAAAACTGGGACTCTCTGTTCTATTCTAGATGGCCCAAGGTAGGTCCTAGGAGTCAGTGTTTCCTGCCAGGAAGGGAAGCAGGACCCCTGAAGCTCCTTCAGGGGCCACACACTGCCCTCCAGAGCACATTCACAGGGCACAGGCCCAATAGCTACGAGGCCTTTCTTTCCTGGGATTGGGTCTCAAACCATTTTCACTCGCAGTGTCCTGGGTTGCCTCTGTGGCCTGAAAAAGCTGTCTGCATTTTCTCAGTTACAGCAAACAGAACACAAACAGGAGAAGTTACGTTTTAGTAAGTTCATTAAAAATGGGTAACGTTCCCAATTAAGTTTTCCGGGGCTCTGGGAATCATGTAAACAGCTATGTCAGCGCCTTGTTCCTGGCCCTTCTAATAATACCAGAAAATTTGAAAAGAAAGGCGCAAAAGCCAATCTGTGACTGGAGGAAAAAAAGGGGGGAGGGATACTCTCATGGCTTCTCAGGAGGCAGCAGTATACCACACCCAGTACAAACACTATGGGGGAGGTGGGGGAGGCGGCTGGGTTTTGAAAAGAGGCAGGTGATGGGAGACGGAGATGGGAACCCAGAGGCATCCTGCGTGGGTCCCAGGTGCCTGCTGCTATTGCTCCCATGTGTGGGAGAAGCCTGTGCCTGGCTTCCCAGTAGCCCTGAGGGGGTTCTGGCAGCCTTTCCTGGCATAGCCCTACTTACTGCCTGCTGTCTGCACACTGACCCTCAGGCTACATCTGGGCCTTGTTATTTCCAAGGCCCCTGACCCAGAAATGCTGCTGATATTTTTAAAGGCTGGATAACAAAATCAAAGGAAGATTCATATTTAATGACATGTGAAAACTCTAAGGAATTCTAATTTCAGTGTCCATAAACAATTAGAAAAGAGTCCATATACTGAAGGTGTTAATTAGAAAAGAGCCACGCCCATTTTTTATTATATTGTCTGTGTCAGCTTTCCTCCCACAAAGACAGAACTGACTAGTTGTGAGAAAGAATTTCTCCCATAAAGGCTAAAAACGTTCACTGCCTGGCCCTGTGCAGACAAAGTTCACTCACTCCTGGGCAGCCCACAGACACAAGGCTCGGACTGCACAGTGTTGGCCCACAAAGTGTTTTAACTTTGAATTAGCTTCTAAAGAAAGAAAAAATCACATTGTGGTAGTTCTGGATTTCTGAGTGGGGACTGCTTCTGTAGGAAGGGCACACACTGCTCCCGGCCCCAGCCATCACAACTGCTCATAGCTCAGGTGGTGAGTTGATCGTTTGTTATCACTTACTCCAATGTTGTTTTTTTTTTTTCTTAAGATTTTATTTATTTATTTGAGAGAGAGAAAACACAAGCAGGGGGAACAGCAGACAGAGGGAGAGAGAAGCAGACTCCCTGATGAGCAGGGAGCCCAAAGTGAGGCTTAATCCCAGGACCCTGGGATCATGACCTGACCAAAGGCAGCAGCTTAAAGTCTGAGCCAACCAGATGCCCCTCCAGTGGTTCTTGGTACAGCTTACTTTGTCCGACACTTGGCATTGCCTGGAGGTAGTTTTCGGAGGGTGCTGCTGGTATTTAGTGGGTAGAAGTCAGCAGTGCTGGTGGTGACCCTGTAATGCACCAACCCACGCTCACAACAAATATTCGGTCCCAAACCTCAGTAGGATTGAGTTTTGGAAATTCCAGCTGAGCCACCTGTGTCCACTTGTGTGGGTCCTACTCATTGTCCACAGGCATTCTTTTTTTTTTTTTTGTAAATTTAAAATTTGTTTTGGACTCCACTATAACAACAACACCATCAACAAACAAAATCTCTAAATACGAGTTATCTGTATCATTTTTTAGTCCCTTATATGATTTGTGTGTTCTAATATACATGTTCACCTCCTTGCATGTTATATATTGATTCTACTGTATTTTACCTTCACTGCCCTTACTATTCCATTTAAAATTTCATGCATGAACATAGTTCATCATGGTAGTGTTTTGAATAAACACTCAGAACTTCATGGTGTGCCTTCATATTATGGTTTGCTAAGGCCCCTTAGTTGACAGGATTGTTTTATATGTCTTCTTTGTATAGAGAACACCTTCAGTATATGTTGATTTTGTATAGCATTTTCTTTTCTCACCTTTGTCTTAACTCCTCAGGGGTTCTTTCTAAAGGTGGAATTGCTGGGTCAAATTTTATAGTTGCTGTCACATATTGCACAACTCTGTCCCCCCAAAAAAGGCTACAATGATTTGCAGTATCACCAGGGGTATCTGGGGCCTCCTTTGTTCTTGTTAATGATGATCAGCCATTTACTGGTATAAACTGAATTTTGTCAATTTATTGGCTATGGTTAAAGACACCTCATCGTTATTTGTGTTGCTTAAGTGAAGGCAGACTTTTCCCGTGTGTATTTTACTACCACTTGTCCACCTGTTGACACTGCAGAATGTTCTACCTCCAAGCCACTGGGGCACTGAGAGAGCAGGTGAGCTGCTAGACATTAGATGTCCTCAGCCAAACGTTACAACAACTGGTTGACTTTGTCATTTGGTTGACTGTTTAAAATATGTGGTGTTTGTAGGGCATTTAAAAAGAAATTTCACATTGATGTGTTTTGTGTTAGTGACAAGGTCTATTTGTAATTATCATATGTGTCATTATCTGCGTCTTGGCACTTTTTGGGGAAAGGTATCTGGACTGAGTATGAGACATCATTAGCAGTTCTTGTCTCTCTGCAGATTTCACTAGACCTTGGGGTCAGCAGGGAAAGAGTTTGCTCAGAAGCACAAACAGCCCCAGTCCACATTGGCAAAAGTCTGGAGATGCTTCCCCTTTGCAACTCAGAACAGTGTGGGAGGAGGGCAAAGGAAGTGAGTCCACAAGAGTAACGAAGCCAACAGTCACATGCCTCAGATGGTTATTCAAGGGAATGTAGGTGTCTCTAGTTCTGATTTCATTTTTAGGAGTGGGATTCTCTGTCCTGCCCAACTTCACTGTATGTGTGGGGTAAAATGACAGGAAAGTAGCCTGAGGCCTGGACTTTGAAATGAAGGTCAAAATGGCAGAATGGACATGCAGAATATTCTGAATGATTGTAGTAATGCAGAAGATGGGGCCTGTGTACCAAGGGCACCACTCTTTGTAGGCTCTGCATGTTGTCTTTTCCACATATTGTTCATAAGTCAATATAGTATGTAATACATGTGCCTGGCAGTTCTGTCCTCCTAAGCAGAGTATGAAAACAGAGTTTTACTATAAAGAGAACGGCCTTCAAAATGCTTTACTGTAAATGCACTTGTATTTCAGTCTTTCAGGTAATAAAGCTATAATAACGTTTTCATGTAAAGCTATACTTATTTTAAAGTTTTACCCACTCAGGCATGTGTGTGTGTTTAAGATTTTATGGATTTGAGAGAGAGAGAGAGTGAGAGGAAGGAGGGGAAGGGTAGGGCAGGGGCAGAGGGAGAAGCAGACTCTCCCCTGAGCAAGGAGCCTGATGCTGGGCTCTGTCCCAGGATTCCCAGATCATGACTTGAGTTGAAGGCAGACGCTCAACCGACTGAGCCACCCAGCTGCCCCCACTCAGATGCTTAAAATGGGGCTTCAAATATAAATACCCAACTTTGTCAGAGATTAAGGCAGTCTCTTGGTTAGGGGACGCACAGAAGAGCTACAGGAGAGCAGGAACCAGCAGGAGTTACTCCTGCCAGGGATTCAGCTGGGCCTCTCACCTTGGTTCTCACTCTTTGCATTTGATTCCTCATGGCAGCATTTTCAAACTCCCAGCTCCTCACGTTGCCTCAGGGTCTTCCCTCAGGGCTTCCAGCAGATGCAG